GACAGGCTTGGTCTGACCTCCGTAACCGGACTGCTTTCGGTCGTAACGTCTCTTTCCCTGCGCGAACAGCGAGGCCTGTGGTGCAGAGGAAGGAATCAGCATCTCGTCCGTGGCATCGTCATCGAGGTCGCGTCATCTCCGCGCTGGTGCAGTAGACATACCTTTCCGGCCTTGTACTGGGTGACCTTGTGCTGGGTGTGCTTGCGGCACTCCTTGCCCTTGCAGTAGGTCATACGCGTCTTGGGAATGTTCACTGCATTTCAGACCCCGTGTCAGCCAACTCGTCCCTTCAAGATGATCCTCGCACAAAAGCTCCTCATGGTCTGCAGTCGGAATCGATTTTCCCTTCGAGTCTCCCCCCCGTCGTGCGCCGTCGCGATGGTGGTTGCGTGTCGCCGTGTTCGTTGGTGATTCGAATCGTCAAGCCCCCTCGTGCCCTCGTCGAGTGCGCGTCGTCGAAAATTGTCGGTGGCCACGGCGGTGCGGCGGCGCGGTGTCGAAAATATTCGGGCATCACGGAAGCATTCCCCCTCGTTTGCAAAATCGAATCCCGACTGCTAGAATGACCACGCTGGAGAAAGACATCATGCTAGTACTCACCCATCTTGGCGGCTGTTTGTCGATTGTCGCTTGCCGGAGTGTCGTGACGATGAATTTGCTGGCGGGGAAAAATGAAAATCGTCGTTTTCCTGAAAGTGCTCGCTTGTGTGCTGCGGCTAGGGCAGGACGGCGCTAGTCTGGTTCGGGGGAGCAGGGTGTGGCTGAGGCGAGTTTTCAGCCTCGTCTGCAGCCACCCGGGCTGTGTCAGGTGACTTAGGTTCTGGCTGCTTAGGTAATGACAGCTCGGCATATTCAGTGCTGGCAGCATGGACGCTTCCAGGGTGTGCAGCGCTTCAGCTTCACCGACGGAATCCCCCAATCAGCAGTAGTCAATTAGCTGCAGGCCAGTGCCCGCCGCCCTTTGCTCTTCTCACCACTGTCCGCCGCCGCCGTCAGACGTTCAGCTGAAGGGCCAAGCTCAAGAATGTCCAGCACAGCTCTTTCCCCAGCCTCCCCAGAATACAAAGGCCGATGACTAAGGTAATGCAGCGCCGGCTCGCGCTTCCACTTCTCCATCGTGCCGCTTGTCACGTTCTCTCTGGCTCTTGACTCTCGACTCTCGCCGCCTCGCGTCTTCATTTCAACCTTCCGGGCCGTGTACCGTGTACCGCGTAAATCAAACCGTAATCCGCCGACCGTCTGGACCGTCCGTCTAAACAACGAAACACAAGCCGTTCAGATCTAGGGCGAGCGTAATGATCTTGGGTCGACAGTCGCGCGTCAGAATAGTGTTTCCGCGATAGACACGCAATCACTTGTTTCGTTGTCGCCCTTTCTGGAAAGTCTCAACTCACTTTTGCGACTCGGACGAGTCATGGCCGGGGGAGAGGATGGCAGACCAGCAGACCAGACCTCCAGCTTCCGCCTCTCTCACCGTTCTTCGTCTCTGCCCTTGGCCTTGCCTCCCATCCCCATCCTCCCCAGCACGCACTCTGAGCAGAGAGATCCCATCCATCTCCCCGTCCCTCCTCCCCCCGGACCCCAAACTTTTTCGTCCTCCCGCTCTCAACTCCCGCCCGAGGCTGTCTACCAATTTCAGCTGACAGACGATGTCATCGCACGATACCCCCGCTGTCAACTCGCCCGGCTGTCGGCACTGACGTCAGTACCCAGCTAAGCGCTTGCTATCCAGCTTTGACCTTGCAAAGCCATTCAACTCGACGCCCAAAAGAATTCAGTTTCGGGGAAACTTAATCACTTTATTGGTGACGCGATCTTGTTTATATCGGCTCACGCGGGCGCCAAAACCGTCCGCTAGCATGACGCAGGTTGAATGCATCCATTTCCTTAACTTCGGAAATACCATCGTGCTATACTATACTATACTCTGGAGGCCTGGAGTCTGGAGTTGACCCCCAAGGCTGATGCCGTCGTGGACTCCCCTGGCTCGTGGGTAAAAGGTTACCCGATGGAGGTCGTCCATCTCACGACGAACGCCTCGCTCAGCAGGGGCTCGGTCGACGGAGATAGATGCCACAGCGCCATCCATCGACGATGGCGTGCTCTAATCTCGACTAGCTCCGCCGGCGTTCCATTCGGTGTCCCGTCACTTAGCCGTCATGATGGTGCTAGGCTAAGCCGGAACACTTCAAATCGTCGTTGACGGCCAGGTGACACGCCGAAGTGACGGGCCTTCGGGGCGTACGCCTCTGGCCCTTGACATCTTGGGGCCAAATCGCCGGGGCTGAACCGCCAGCTTTCGCGAGGCGACGGCGGCCTCATGCCTTTACCTGGGGCGAATTGATTATGAATGGTGGCTCGGATCATTTTGAACTATCAGCCCCGGCACCACCACCTGGGCGTGCCATCTACCGTCAATGCTTCCGTTCCTTCGTCAAGGGCGCGCACGCAAAGGCCCTCTCGATACGGACGGGTAATACGTTTGCAGATTCAAAGGGTCCAGCGAACGGAAAGCCAAGATGGCACAGCATACCAGCCGGCTTGCCTACGGGATGAAACCTCTTCGAAGTACGGGTAATTGAGATTCACCTTGACAAAAAAAGAAGCTTTGGTGCAAAAAAGGGCGGCGAGCAAGAGAGATCAGATTGAACTTGGCGCGGCCCAGCAAACAAGTCACGCAGACCAGCAGCCACCATCTTCTCGCTCAGGTCCAAAGTAACCGGACGAAATAAGAAGCACGATTGAAGCAGACACCCGACTGGAAGTACGCCCGTCCTGCTTGAGCCCAAAGCTAAAGTGCCGGAAGGGCGTCTTTAACTGGGTGACAGAGTGTTCGGCTCACCGTCAGATGGCCTTCCGGTGGCGGGCCATTACGACGACGTGCCAAAATAAACACACGAAAAAGATGGGATTTTTTGATTCGGGCATAGAGAGAGGGTGAGAAAGTGGTGGCTCGACACGAGACGGGGACGCAACCATTCATCGCAAAACGGACCATGAACTTCCCCATTCGTCGCGATTGTCGAACTGCGGCGTGCCAACCACCAAACCCGAGCCGCAACAGGAACGGCCTCCAAAACAGTCCAGTCATACCACACGCGTGGCGCAGACGCAGACAGGACGGACGGGCAAGCTGCGAAAGGTCCCAGGTCCCAGACAGTGGTGGGCTCTAGGTTGGCTCTAGTGCGAGTGTCGCGAGCCCAGAGTCCAGGTACACCCGACATTAGCGTGTTGTCTGTCCTGTCTGTCCAGAATCAATCCGCGAAGTGCAGAGTCTAACATAGTGCGCCTACTATGTGCGCGGGAGACGAGAGTCTCTCAGTTAGTGCCACGGCAAAGTATGCAGTAGTAGTAGGTAGAGAGTACAGTAGCACCCAAGAGTCTTGAGGGTCGCTTCATCAAAGGATGAGGCCAGCAGACGGAATGGAACGAACCAGGGCTGCAGCGATGAACCACGGCCGTCCCTGCGCCGGTTCTTCCCCCCCTCCAACTCCCAGCAAGTCCCAGAGCCCAGGGCCAACCTCTCTCTTTTTCTCTTTGGTGTCTCCAGTCTTTTTCCGTCTCCTTCTGTCCTAAGGCCCTTGACAAATCGCACCAGTCTCGCAACGTGGGTTGAGCTTGGCATGAAACGTCGCCCAGCGCCGCAACGTCGACGGTTTCAGATGCACCAACTCCCGTGCGCTTAAACCACGTTCCTTGCATGTCGACACCTTAATCGCCGCCCCGATTCACGTACCACACGTCCCAGTTGCTAAAGAAAGCAACCGGTTACAACCACCTCCCCTGAATGCTACCCTGTCCGCCAGAAAGAAGCAGCAGGGAGGGCGCAGGCAGTGTGGGCAGTCAGTTCTCTCTCTCTGGGCAGACTGGGCGTGAGCCTGATCTACCGTCTACGCATAAGCCAGCGCCCCACAGGGGACGCGCAACCTCTTCTCATCTTCTCGAGTCTCTCTTCCTCTTTTCGCTACCAGCGAGCCGCTGATCCCATACGCTCTGATACAGCTTCGCGAAAGCCTGTATCGCCTGTGCTTGCACACATCACATCACATTACTCCCACCCGCCCAGCTGGTTGGTGTCCGGCTATGACGGGCCCCCGACGATCCAAGGCGAGAATTCCCCAGAATTTCTCCCACCTAATCTCGGATTTCGGGACGGGACGGCAGGCCCGGCAAGGGCCCAATACCACCAAGAATTAACCAAGGCCTCGTATCGTCTCAGTCATCACTCAAGCGAGAGAGAAAGAGGGGGCCATGCTAACTTCAACATCGAACGGGGGGAGGAGGGCTAGGCTCAACTCCTGCAATGCCAATACGGGAAAGGCTGCCAAGGTACGTTCAATCCAAACGATACGATGATAGGCTTGGTAGCTGGGGGTAGAAGGGAAGGGATGGAAGAAGCACCATTAGCAGCTTGGCCCGCAACAAGTTGAGGCTCACTGTCCCCTGTCCCCCGGCATGGCATCTCAAGGTCCGTCCTTGCTCGCTCCCCGCGACGTTGGGAGCTGAGACAGAATGGCGTGGGAATGGTGGACAGTCAAGTCAGAGCCAAAGAGGCAAAGAGGCTCGGCAGTCCCCGAACCCTGGACATCCCAACTAGCACATCCTCCTTGCACCCTCTGCTTTCCTCCTCCTCCTCCTCCTCCGCAGATCAGCCCGGCCAAACACCCCTGCGCTGCCGACTGGTCGGTCCCATCTGCTCGCTCTGTTGCATGATATGTATGTGGCTTGTGTCTTCTATACGTCCAACATGCGGTGCTGGGAGCTTGCTTGTTTGAAAAGTAAGGTCTGAGCCGGCGTCTGGACTGGGTTGGAAGGCAACGTCACTTGCACCGATATTCTTCTCAGTGGTCCTTTCTTTATAGCATTAGCCTTTGCCATTCCCCTTCTTCTAGATTTCCTTCGCGGTCGATTTCTCTTAGCCAGGCCACAACTCCAACAGATGTTTTCGTGATACCCAGATACCCAATAGCCACCTCTCTTCACCTCTCTCTCCGACAATCATGGAGCGAGCACAGTCTCTTCTCACCAGCACCACCCGATCCATCAGCAGCACGCGATCCAGTACCCGCTCGTCCCGCTCGAATTCACTGTACTTGAACACACCCGGTCCGGAGAAGGGGGAGTTCTTCCTCCCCGCACCCACATCCACGACGATTCACCAACCGAAGATCCGGGTGCGGGCGATACTGGGGCACTGCCTCTACCGTAGGGTCGTGATATGGACGGTCACCGTCTCGCTGCTGCTCGGGCTCGCATATCTCAACACACCATTATACACGCGCGATGGCAAGGTTCTCGGCGATGATTACAGGATAGGCGGGCTCGGCGGACAGCCGAACAAGCAGGGAACCGAAATTCCGAATGAGGAGATGCCAGAGATTGACAGTTCGATGCCGCCATGGCTCAAGTTCAAGCAGTGAGTGACAAGAACAGTGTGATGAGCCTGAAGTTGAGACCCGACTAACACCACACAAGCCTCAACGGCTATTTCAACGGTCTCAAGTCGATCGTGCCGTTCGTCAACCACACCGCAGAGTATCCCAATGCTTCATTCCCCGCACCCGTAACCACGGTGCCCATTTACCATGACACCCCTCCCACTCCCACGCCTTACCTCGCAGCTCACCCAGATTTTGAGTCTCGCGAGTACCTCAAGGACCACCACGCCGTGAAGGAGTGCTTCATCGACGACGAGGACAAGATCCCCGTGCCGGACATCTGGGCCTACGACGGCGTCCCCCAGAACCAGCCCGACCCGGCCATCGGCTCCCACACCGTCCTCGGCCTGCGCAACGACATTTGCTTCGACCGCTTCGGACGCTACGGCCCCTACGGACTCGGCTACGACATCAGCGAGGGCGGCACCTCACAAGGCCAGGACACCGAGCAGGAGGGCTCCGAGATCGTCTGGTCCAAGACGGGCAAGATTAACTACAGCCGCGTGGACTGGGGCTCCGCGCAGGACCGATGCGTCGAGCGCAACATCGCCCGCTTCCGCAACAGCACCAAGGACGCCGCCACCGCCTACGACACCGCCTACAGCGAGCCCGAAGCCGCCGGCGAGGACGGCCTCAAGAAGGTCGACCGCATCGCCGTCGTCGTCCGCACCTACGTCGGCTTCGAGTGGACCCAGCACGCCATCATCAACTTCCGCGCCATGATCTCCGAGCTGTCGCTCAAGTCAGGCGGTGAGTACTCGGTGCACTTCCTGCTGCACGTCAAGGACAACGAGGCACCCATCTGGTCCGACCCGTCCGTCGTCCAGAAGATCCTCGACGACAACGTTCCCACCGAGTTCCACTCCCTCTGCACCCTCTGGTCCGAGGCCGAGATGAAGCTCTACTACCCGGGCCACTTTGCCGACGCGCTCGAGAACCCCTCCAACGGCGACATCCACGGCGTCTACCGCTCCGCCCAGATGCCCCTCCAGGTCTTCGCCCTCCAGCACCCCGAGTACACCCACTTCTGGAACTGGGAGATGGACATGCGCTACATCGGCTCCTACTACGAGCTCCTCGACCGCCTCGGCGCCTGGGCCCGCGGCCAGTCCCGCACCCTCCTCTGGGAGCGCTCCTCAAAGTACTACATCCCCGCCGTCCACGGCTCCTGGGACGAGTTCGCGACCACCGTCGAGCGCGAGCTCAACGCCTCCGGCCGCCGCGCCATCCTCGGCCCCCAGATCTTCCCCGGCCGCATGTCCCTCAAGTCCGAGGAGGCCGGCATCTCCATCATGCCCGCCAACTGCGCTCGCGGCGGCGACCCCGCCGAGTGCGGCGTCGGCGAGGACGCGGACCTCATCACGCTCAACCCGCTCTTCGACGCCGACGAGTCCGGCTGGGTCTTCGCCAAGGACGTCACCGGCTACGAGATGGTTTTCGCGCCGCCCCCGCGCCGCTGCTCCATCGTCACCGCCTCGCGCCTCAGCCGCCGCCTCCTCGCCGCCATGCACGAGGAGATGTGGCGCATGCACCACAGCATGTTCTCCGAGATGTTCCCGGCCTCCATGGCCCTGCACCACGGCTTCAAGGCCGCCTACGCGCCGCACCCCGTCTACCTCGACCGCGCGTGGTACCCCTTCGACACCATCGAGAAGGCCTTCAACGGCGGCCGCGACGGCACCACCGGCGGCCACGGGTCGCCCTTCGACCTCAAGAACGAGCACAACCACAAGGGCACCAGCTGGTACTACAACTCCGAGTTCGCGGGCCTGTTGTGGCGCCGCTGGCTGGGCTACGGCCAGATGGACGGCCGCGGCACCAATGGCGGCCGCGCGAACGAGGGCACGCTGCGCGGCGGCATGCAGGAGGAGTCGCACAAGGACAGCTCCGGCCGGTTGTGCATGCGCAGCATGCTGGTGCACCCGATCAAGTGGGAGAACCCGATCGAGAGAAGCTAAAACAAGCCTTTCTTTTCCTTGGGTAGACGGTGTTCATTTTCTTTTCCTTTTCGAAGCTACATACTGCATGCATATGGGGTGAAGAAGAAACAGGGTTTTCCGTGGCAAAGTCCCAACAGGCGAACGAACCACACAGCAAGAAGCGATTCTGTATCAAAGTTTTCACACACACAACAAACCTGTCGACCAAAGTTTGTTTCTCGACATGTCATGTTCTTCCCTCTTATTCCTTTAACTTGCATTTACATATCTAGAGTGTACATACCTACACGACAGCACGGATTGGAGGTTATACCAGCCGGGATCACGGTTCTCAAAGCATTTGTTTGATTTTATAACGGTTAGGGGTTCGGACACAGAGAAACGCGGGAAGGGTCACAACCGCGCAGGGCGCGCGGGAAACACACATTAGGGAAACAGATGGGAAACACGCAACTTCACTTCTGTACATAGAGCGGGACTTTTCTCACACAACAAAATCTCTTTTCATGAACCAAAACCTTTTCATTTCTCCTCGACGCACAAACATTACTCAAGAAGAGGGGCAGGAAAATGGGATTCAGGATCCGGGAAACTTTGCGGCGGCGTTTATGGGCGGGGAGGGGTCAATCTACCAAGATGGGATTCCTTGGCTTTTTTCCTTCATGGTTTCGTTCTAGCCTCATTGTTATCTTGTTACTTAGCGGTAAAGCCAAATGTCAGAGACATATTACGAACAGCAGAGACACTAGATCGGATTGTTCGCAGGTGAATTGACGATGACTGATATTAACGATGCCCAATATGGCGATATTTGGGCGTAATTCGGCCGACATCTTGATTCGAGGAACTGAGAAACACCGGGCTTCACAAAAATAACTGCACAGCATTCCAGACAGTGACAGCCGCGGGAGGCACGGCATATGGCCAAGGCTTTTTTTTCCTCCCTCCGGCATTTGAGGTGTTCGTCGGATCGCAGATGCCACCACCCCGAGGGCGTACAGTGTCCGACTCGGACGCAACTCTCTGTCTCTCGCCGGCTGCTCTTCGCTTGCCTGCCAACTACCTACCCCTCATTAAAGAACAATCATCCCACCGCCCACCGGGACTAAGTCATGAAGCAGAAGCAGCAGCAGCAGCAGCAAGAGCTATGGCAGCTATCGCTCCACCTCCACATATCGCCTCCGCCGCCACCGCCGCTGCAGGAACGGCCTTCCTCCCGTGTTCTCACATGGCAAGTGGGGGGCGCAGCGTTGGCGGGGGCAGTTTCACAGACGGCGCGCGAACGGCTAAACTCCGCCAAGGCGCGTCTTTTGTCCCGAAATAATCCAGAATCTGGGGGTGTGGTGGTGTGACGGGGGGAGGGGAGGGACAGATTCATACTTTCATGTCGAGGGTGGTGTGAGATGGAACAGAGGTGGTCCCCGGGTATACTTTCCGCGGCGAGGGCGATTTCGGCCGTTTTCTCGTGCGATGAGGGGAGGGGAGGCCGGGCCGAAAAAGGCAGTGTGGCGGCCGGGGGTTTTCTCTTAGTTGGTTAATTGCTCAGAAGACAGGACAGCATGGCTGCATGTGTGTATTTACGGCGGTATATGTGAATGCCCCCGGCTATCACGGCCCTGTGCCTGTGATGCGACTCCGGTGAAGGCGTGCCATAACACACGCCGTGGCATAAGTTGGGAGGAATGCATCGGCGGGTGTGGTCAGTAACGCGCGTTGCGGACAGAAGAGGAACGAAAGAGACTTTTGGAGGGTTTCTTGGCATGGGGTGGCCGGCGATGGCATGGATGGGACAGAAAACCTTTCTCTTCCTTCTCGACGCCGTATTGGCGGGGGGAGGGAAGAACGCAAGCCCGGAGTCTCCGGATGAACTTGACGGGGGACGACGAGACACGCAAAGAGGGTGGTGACTGGTCCAAAGGTTCGGATTCGGGATGAGGTAAGCTGGCATCTTGGAGACTGGGGGGGACATGCGTGTGTCAGGAAGGGGAGGGGATTGATTTATCGGGGGGTGGGATGTTGGACTGACGCATGTACCCTGCTCACACGGCACGACACACTTTGACAACCCTCTTCTCTGAAGCGGATGTGTCGTGAGGGGAATATTAACATTCATGCTTTCGGTTGGCTTGGCTGGACAGTCGGCCTTGTTTTACGGCAGAACATCGTCGTGTGTGCAATAGAGTTTTTTTCGTGATGGGCGTGATGGACACGAGAGGGAATAATAGGTAGGTTTTGTCGTGTGTGTCGTCGTTCATACCGGCGCACAAAACTTGACTTTTGAAGATTCAAGTGATATAGGTGTGGTGGCAGCAGCAGTCAGTGTTCTCACGTCAGAAATACCGGATTTCTTAATTCGTCCCAAAGATAGACAAGCTATTTTCGATGAACTCGTAGCCATTTATCGCCACCGTCTATCCGAAGTTGAGGATGGAGTGCCAAGTTTGATGGGGCTGAGGTGATATTTTTTTGGTGGATTGAGTTTTGGCTAGAGGGATACTCTCTTTCTGACGTGCGATCTTGGCGAGAGAGATCTGGATGTTCGGATATTTCGGGAGTGGGAGCAGAACATCAGTAAGCATAACACGAGTGACGGGGTTTGGGTGTGATGGGATTCAGGGGAAGTGGTGTAGACGAGACAGGCCAGGAACGAGGCGGCGCCCGGCGGAGTGGTAAGTTCGAGCGGGATGGCGGTGTTGATGTGACTTCGGGCTCGGCGGGAGGCTGAGGGTGGTGATGCCGCCGGCGATCGGCATCTGCGGGTGGGGTTTCGGCGCCGTGTGGATCTTCCGGTCTTTTGGTGGACCGGCTGGTCCGGTCGTCGGCCCAGGCCGGGTATAAAACTCAGAGGTCAGCGTTGCAACAGCTACTGAACTTCAAATGAGCCATGCTGCGATCTGTTACGTTCGAAAATTCGCAAATAGCCACAATGACACCAAGAAGTTCTGACTTGTATGTATGCTCTCAACGGACATGCCGAGAAAGGTAGTTGTGAGTCTCGTTATTTTTAATAGGCAAACAGAGACAGAGGTCCGAAAAGCCAACGATTCGCGACCGTATTCCCATCACATGTATATGTTTGACGAGCTGGATACTTGTACAAGTCCCCAGCCTAGCATATTACTCAGCCCACAACCAGAACAGCAAATCCGTTTGTCACTAAGAATCTGGGAGGAGCAGGCAAATCGCCTGCTTTGTCATCTTCGCATTATCCACGTTCATTACTGCGATCTGGTGATTTCCTCTGCTCTGATATTTGAACATGTAGAGAAAACCCTGAAAATACGCTCCCTTTTGTGCGATTATCGGTTATCATCTGCACTGTCTGTTGATACACCACGTATACCTCAGTGATGGCGGCGGAACAGCCAGACTGCTTGATATCATGATAAAGCTCCCATATCGCATTGCCGGCATGGCTTTCTTGGATCCCATCTGGCCATTGGAGGCGGAGTCGAGCTTCTTGTGCACTGGATTGGCTCCATAAAGATTTCGTACATGACCCAATATTAACCATAAGAAGGTTTTTTGCCGTGTTAGTGTTCTTCAATCTAAGAACCGCAGGAATCTCGAGCCACAGGATGCTAAAGGTACGATGCTGACAACATCGCATGCTTCCTTCTTTCTCCCCTCATAAACACCCCACCAACTACCAAGAGCTTCACCCGAACGAGGCACCTAACAGCTCTCACTCAACCCACTCACAAAGCAAGACTCCCCGTCCATCCCGCTGCCCACCTTGCTCGGCTCCTCGCCCGTATCATTCCCCTCAAACAAGTCACAGCTCTTCCCTGCGCTCTGGCACGCGCCCGAGATCATGCACGTGTCGCCGTAGTTCGTGTTGATCCCGCACAGCACCCCGCCGTCGACGGCGACCACGTTCTCAATCTCCACGTTCCGCGGCCCGCCGTTGGCCTTGCAGTTGCCACAGCTGCGCACGAGCTTGCCGTAGTCCTCGACGTCTGTTGCTCCGTAATCAGATTCTCATCATATTCAAAATGGGTTCTGTGAGGGAGACTTACAAAAGTCCTTGATCGAGACCGTGCCGCGCCCGTTGAACTGCACCACCTTGTCCGCGGCGTGGAAGGCGCCGCCGCCGATGATGGAGGACGTGCCCGAGGTCTGCTTGAGGGTGATGGCGTCCTCGCAGACGTCGCTGTGCCAGACGTTGATGAGGGTGCTGTCCACGCATGTGTCAGGGTTCATGTACTCTTTGCAAGTTAGAAAGAAGGAGGGCATGTACCAGGTCCCTTTGCAGTGAACACCCTCCGCTTGCCCCGGTCCGAGAATGACATTCGACAGAGTCGCGCCGTCTTCGAGGATGAACATGGCGTCGTCCTCGCCCGTCTCAGTCTGGTCCTGGCACACACTCGCTAGTTTGCTATCAGCATATCATTATCACGCTGCTGTAAATCAGGGGCAACTTACGATTGCGGTCGTACAGCTTCATCCCGCCGTCAAAAGTCCCAGACACGGGGATCGCGGCGTCCGTTTCGACAGTACCCGAGGACTGAGGGAGTGTCTTTGTTACTCCCGAAGGAGCGGCGATGGTGGCTGTCGCGTCCTTGGTGGCGGTGGCCAATGTCGTTGCCGGCGCAGGATCCTCTGACGTGGAAGGAGTGGGTGCAGCTGCTTCGGAGGTCGGGATGGCTTCGGCGACGGATGAGGCTGGGATATCCTCAATCACCGTGGGGACATCAGTTGGTTCAATGGATGAGACCTCTGCCGTGGGCTCCGGGGCGGGGTTGGCGCCATCATCGGCATCTTCGGCCATGCATTGGCTATACCATTCGCTGTAGGGCACGCAGGTGGTGCCGGCGACGCATGTTGTTGAGCCAGTCCAGCCTTCTCTACGGAGAACGGTCAGCGTTATCGATTATCTTCTTCTGAAGGGTGCTCGTGTGTTATATGAATTATGGAAGTGATAGAGAGGAGAGATGTAGAGAAGCTTACCCGCCACACTGGCCATACAGAGTGACCTGGGAGACGGCGACGCCACTCAGCGCCGTGAAGAGAATGATTTGAGTCTTCATATTTCCAACCAAAAAGTGAATGGGAATACGAAATGAATGTGGTATCGAATGGATGGAGACACGAAGGATGACACATGGGAACATGAAGCAGGAGGAGAGCGGTTGAGGTGCATCATATACTCGGTTCGAACCATACTGCCGTGGCCTGACAGACATTCAATCCCGCTCGGAATGCGCAGCCTGGGTTCATGGTGTCACAGACAAGAGCCTCACCTAAATCAAACTTCCCATCCCGTTTGCTTGGAGACTCCTTCCTGCTCATAACAAATGTTTGTGATTGCCCACGGGTACCTGCATACGACCGCAGCATCACACCTCGAGCCCGAGTGCTTGTTACCCTAAGGGGGACTCTTCGTCTGGTCTAGATTGGCTTGTGCACCCGTAGTGGAAACAGAACGACGCATTTGCTCATTTATACTAAGACTTCCCTTCAAGACCCCAGACCAAAGCAATATGAAAGGGACGCAGGCGATTTAAGGTTGTTTACGAAGAAGCAAATCTTCCCTCGCTTCCACTGGCTGGATGTCAGCGACAGGGAGCGCATCCGTTTCATGACATGCGCCAAGGTGGCGTTGTAGCAGCCACCCGAACACTCGGCGAGGAGCTGAAGCCTCCGTTCCGGTCCGGGAGGTGGTGGATGTTCTTGTCCGTCATTCTATCCGCCGTTGGGCGCAATAACATGCGATGACGGACTAAATCATGCAAGACTTCAGGTACTGTACTGCACTCAATAGCCAGGTTTGATATTTCGATACTCCTACTCAACTCCACGACGCCCATTTTCGTGACAAGATCTACAAGTTAACGGCTTTAATCCACAATTTACCAATCCTCCCCAGCAGACACTAAACTGTCAAACCGGTTGCCCCGCCCGGTGACAAACTTCATCTCCTCATCCTCCACAAACTCATCCCCACCCCTATTCGGAATCAAGTCCTCAATGGCCCAAGCAACCCTCTCGGCGCCGGCCCGCGCCCCGCCCAGATTCCCTGCTCCGGGCCCCAACCTCAGCGCCGCAAGCCGTCCCGTAACGAACAACGGCACACCCTCCTTCCACATCAAATCGTCATTGATACACGGCATGCCCCCGTGCCCATGAATCGGATACTCCCGCAACATGGTCTGCAAATACGGCAGACTGGCATAATCCGTCTGCACGCCCGTCGCAAAGTAAATATAATCCACCGCCGGAATCTCCACCGGCGGCTCCGTCCTCACGTTCCACACCTTCCTCTCCTCGTCGAACCGCGCCTCCGCCAGCTTCGTATTCGTGCACAGCTCCAAGCTGCCCCGCGCGATGTGCTGCTTCAGCCGCTTGTGGTACGGCGGCGTGATGCTGCCGCCGCCGCGCGCGCTCTGGATCTGCGCCAGCCGCTCCTCGTCCGAGTCCGCGCTCCAGAAGTACGCCTGCTCCACGTTGCGGAACTTGCCCATCCACGCGAGGTCCACGTCGAACGGCTTCACGCGCAGCGGCCCGCGCATCAGGTGCCACACTTTTGTGACTCCCCGCCGGAGCGCGAGGTCCGACAGCTGCGCGGACGTCAGCCCGCCGCCGACGACGAGGACGTTGCTGGTGCGCCGCGCGGCGATCTTGGCCTGCACGATGGGGTCGGGGAACTTTTGGATCTGCATGCTGTGGCAGGTCTGCGGCGGGGGTCTGGAGGGGTCGGAGTTGAGGCCGAGGACGGGCGGGATGGTGGGGGCGTTGGCGGGGCCGACGGCGAGGACGACGGACTTTGCGTAGTGGATTGTCTTGTCGGTGTGCACGGCGAAGAGGTTCGCGTCCGGGGAGACGTGCTTGATGACGCGGTACTCGATGTCCTGGACCTTCTCGTTCTGGATCAGGCCCTCGCGCAGGCCGTAGCGGTCGACGATGCAGTCGCAGTGGTTGGCGAAGAGGTTTGTGGGCGGGGTGAAGTAGTCTTTGCGGTCTCGCTCGTCGACCTCGACGACGGCGTGTTGTCTGGCACCAGTGAAGTCAGCAGACTGACCTCGTTGCCTTGAGGATACAATTGGGGCAACTCACTTTGGATTCCTCGACTTCACCCTTGCCTTGCGCAGATGCTTGCTGATCTCCTTGCCGACGCAGGCCCGCAGCTCGAGCAGCTCGCCCTCCTGGTTCCGCTCATGGGCCCTCGCGAGGAGCGAGTCGCGGTCCATGGGGTCGACGTGGAAGAACATGGGGCTGCGCAGGTGCGTGATGTCGAACGTCTTGAAGAGGCGGTTCCACTTGTTGAGCCACTCGTCGCCCGTGGCGTCGAGGACGAGCGTGGAATAGCGCTGGGACTGAGCCGGGGTGCGCTTCTCGAGGATGGCGCCGTTGCGGCGGTTCTTGAGCGGCATGCGGCGGCCGTACTTGCGGATCCAATGGTATCGCTGGTGCTCCTCGTCCGTGAAGAGGGCGGAGGGGGAGTGCTCGCAGAGGCGGGAGGCGACGGCGAGGCCGCAGGGGCCGGCGCCGATTATGATCACGTCGTGGACGAATTGTTCTGTCATTTTTGGGATTTAGAGACAAGAAAACAGAAGGAGAATGAAGTGTGTGCGTCTCGCGGGGTAAAGGAGGAACCAGATAAGAGACGGCTTACAGACATGGGGGCAGACGGAGTTTTGATACCAGTGCTACCAGAACCCGAGTTCACGACCTGCCGGAGTCGGGCAGTCACAGGAGAGAATGACATCTTGCGGAATCTACCTTGATGGCCAGCGGCGGATGAATGTGAGGTAGGCCAATGAAAGACATTGCAGATAGTGGTGATCCCTGTCTTGGTGTTTCTTGTAGCTCCATCGTGGTTGGGGACCTTGATGGACAGGGTCTGGATGGAGCTGATGAGGCAATGACTCTGGCTTGAATCAGTCAAACGTGACACTCGCTTCATAGGAGAAAACAGTGATCGTGAAAGATGCGAGGCAGGCGATTTGGTGACACATTGATGAATATTGCAATAGTCTTATTTTTTTGTTGTCTGAAATCTCTTGCCTGAAAAGCCAACAACTTAAAAGTGGGAGGTAGTCGTCACTAAGCTTGTCGATGGCATCTGGACGATATGTCATATAAAGAGGGAAATCTTTCAAACACCAAGCTAACACCAACTGGATTCCCTCAAAGCCATTGTCATGCTTGCATCTTGATGGTTGCCGGTTCCGCCCTCATCGGCGACCACCCGGGATCCACCCCGTCCGCCGACTGGCCCACACCACCGTCTCCGCGTCGCACTCCGACATTCTGACCGCCGACCCGGCAGCCCTCGACCGGCCGCCTCGCCTGCCGTTCGTCGTCGAAAAAGGCAGTCGATTCATGCATATCGTCACATCCCAGCGGAAGCTTCCCCAGTGGGTCAGGCGCATTGACGGGCCAAAATTTGATTTGATGCATGCTCTTCGCATTGTTTCCCTAGTCATATCAAAAGACAGGCAGGGCAAAAAAAGCCGCAACTTCGATGAGTTTCGATGCAGAAGCCATCGCAGGCAAAGCGCCCGCCGCAGGCATTCCAACGTCGCGATGCCAGAATTGAGGTTCAGGCCGATGCGCAGAGAAAGCCGATCGACGTCACCTGACATGTCACGCTGCCATCTCCGACAGAAACGATGGATCGAAGGTCCCGGAGTTCAACCGTGTCTGTGTCTGTGTCTTGCCCACGTGTCATCCTCCTGCCATTTTGCCCGTGTCTCGTCCTTTCCTGCTGCCCAGTTGGAGAGACCGACGAATGCCAAGGGCGAGCTTTGCGGATACGTACCGTTTGGAGAAGCAGGAATCCACTTCCTCCCCAACAGAACTGTGAAATCTCGAACCATCCCTGCCGGGCAGAAATGACCCGCACACCTTGTAAGTACTTTTTTCGGTATTTTAGCTTTATTTCTTTTTGGTTCTGTGCAACGGCGGCAGCTCAGCCAAAGCAGACGACGCTATTGGCCGAGCTAGAGCAAAGCCACCGACGGCGGGCCCCCAACCGACGTAATTGTGCAGTGCATCCGACGGGGTGCTGCTCTGCTCAAGCCACAGTCGGATGACGCCACTGTCTTGCACAAACGCTGGAGGCAATTATTACGCATGTGCAAGGCGCGAGCTTGACGAGTCCTGCTGTTGGTACAAGCTGTCCGCCTCCTTCTCGGAGTGCTCCTGTTGTCCGTCGGGATGACGGATGGATACTTGTACGAATACAGATACACAGCAGGCAAGCTGCAACCGAGAGGCCACCGGTGCAGTTTCCGAGAGTTGCAGTGAGAGAAAGGAAAAGAAAGAGGAGCAGGGGACAGGCATGTCGCTCCTGCGCGCAATGCAATTTGTGAACGTGTATGGACAAAATCTCGATGGACATCGTGGCATTTTCCCACTCGTGACACGCGACTTGCGAACCCAGTTGACAGACAGTCCAACAACACACTATCCTTTCTCCATTGGCACTCGGGTGACAGCAATTGCAGCTTCACAACCGCGATTAACGACCGTCAGCTGTCAACTCGCCTTTAACCCAACTTTAAACTTCCCACGAACTCCCCCGTGGTCCGCATCCCGCCGACCGGAGTAGACGCTCCCCCACTAGCTGCAGGTCTAACACAAGGTAGTCCATTGTCCGTATCATATGCGCAATCTTGCTGCTTAGGTAGCTGTGCTCTGCTGCTCTACTGCTCTGTCTTGCCTTCTTTACCTTGTCTTCGCTGTCACACCCGTCCGGCCAAAACTCGCAATCAGCCGAGCACACTTTATTCCGACTGGACTGGACAAACCAACCAACCATTCACGGCTCTGGCTGGACCTACCCGTTCCAATACGCGGCGCGCAAAAAGTGTAAACCTCTCAGAGGCCGTCGTTAGTATTCTACCCTCTTCCGTCCAATTGCCCTTCTTTCTCCGAAACCCAGGCCCAGACCTACCTAAGCTCTTTTTTTCCCTACCCTCCCCCTTCCCTGTGCTTTCGCTCTCCAATTGCACCCTCTCGTCAAAAAAAAGTCCATCGTCATCAGCCATCACCCCTCCTAACTAAAACCAAGGCACAGCAGTCC